TTGGCATCTAGGGGTACCTACATTATTTAAGTTTATTTCACACGTTTAAATTAATTCATTTCATTTAAAAAGTTAAAATACATTCCAACTTTTTCCGACATTTCTGGCAAATACAAACGATAAAAATTTCAACAATAAGTAGTTGGTTTTCTTTTATTTTTTCTATTAATCATAAATCTCTTAAAAGGCGATATNTTTTTCTACTTTTTAATGTAGGTTTTTTGTATCTACGAGTAAATACATACTATACCTAGTTGAGTGTCAGTCGTCGGTACCTATTTAGTACTATCACAGAATAATAATAAGTACTACGTACAGAACTTTTATTTCGCGAAGGTATTTAAAAAAATGTATGCTCAATGTCATTAACAATATGGTGTAATTTAGCCTGTCTCAAGAGTCAAGCACCATTTTGTTGACAAACGTCAGTGATCGGCACTGCGCCGAAGCTATAGGGCTGACTTCGGTAAAATGATGTGACGTGAGGTGCCAAACTACGGAAAATGGCGGAGGAAATACATGATTTAGCAAGAATTATCATGAATAATATTAACTACTTATTTACCTCTCAGTGTCTTGAGGAAACTTAAAAAAGTACATTCTGTGTTTTTATTATTATTTAGGCAGTTAAATACTGCACAGTATTTAGTACACCATTTTCTTTATTTTCTTCCATCATACACAAGAATACGCGTGCGTCAATGTTCGCTCGTATGTGAGGCCTTGTCGAATAGTATCCTGTAGGTGGGCCATCGTGCGTGTTTTGTTTTCGATGTAAACTCGCGGAAATGAACAGGCCTGGTACTATCCCAAGTAACACAAAACACAATTATAAGAAGCGTACAACAGCATGAACCTACGTGCAGAGCAGTATTAAGCAGCATATGTAGCACTATATCAGCCGTATAAAAGTCTATAAGTGTCTTGTAAGCGCAATTTGGGCCCCAAATAATACGGCTTTGAGCATTATTAAAATTATTAGTGCTGCTAACCAGCGCTTATTANCTTTAAAACGTAAATCAATCTTAACTTCAGTGAATATACAGCTTGCGTGTTACTTGGGATGTTGATATTTAAACGACATTTAATTAAAACTGACCTAAAAGTTTCTTCACAATTAAGTTAAATACAGTTCAGTCTTTCTTGGAATCAATTCCTTTTAACTGGTTTCAGTACTGCTGCTCATTATACGTTTCGAACTGGAATTCTATATTTTCTGTTCATAAGAAAAGGCTGGTATATTTCAATATCAAGGACACGGCTAAAAGGCAAACTTTTTCCATAGACAAGTGCCTGAACGTCATTATCCGGTCGCTCGGCAAATGACAGGTAATCTAGGGTGAATACACGGCGCCGATGTGATTGGCGATTGGGCTAGACGCTAGAGGTCGATCCATCTTAATATTAAGTACGTCTGTTTCAGTAGGGGAGATCGAGGCGAGTTGTAACAGAGGAGAGTTGACATTCTTGATATTTTGGAATAACTACTAGCGAGCTCGTAACAGTGTGCGTTTTTAGTTCAAGACTCGAGTTAAAAAATACGCGCTGTTGCGAGCTAGCTGATAGTTAACAAGTTCCAAAAATCGACAATGTCATAACTCTCCTCTGTTACAACTTCCATTAATCTCCCCTACATCTAAGAACTTGGCAAAACACTGGTGACAGACGGCGCATGATTGTTCGTACGTTGTTTGACTTACACTGCGAAGTATTTTTGAGACAATTACCTAATTTTAAGTTACTTGTTTGATAAGATAAACGTGTCATTTTAGGGTTTCGTAACCAAGGGTTAGTATTAAGAATCCGCTATCTGTCCACCTAAAACTTTGTTGAACGTATTGGGGCAGAACAAAAATACTTATTTAAGGCAACAAAAATTTATTAAATATTCAAGCAGTGCGTTCTTTTCGCCAATATTAAAAAGAAAATTAACGTTAAATATTTGACGCGTTATCCTAAAAATGTATTTATTCGAGAATTTACTGAAAAACATCATAATGTTAAGTATTTATCGCTAGGAGTAGAAAACAATTTTAGATAATTTAAAGAGCAACACTTTACATAGTTTGCATAGCTCTCCACTCAATTCAATAGTGATTCTCTTAGCCAAAGAATAATTGGTACAAGTTTGCGTAGAGCGGGCTACCACAAATACTATACCGTATAATCCACTAAGAAGCCCAGCTGCATTGCAAAGAAATACTTAAACAGCTTGTGAAATCCAAGTTTAAGTCGTGTTCGTTATGCTAAGTTGAAGTAAATAATCCCTTTTTATATATTTAAACGTTACCTATTATTATTTATTCAGTCAAATGAAAATAAAATAATTTTACTTTATAAAATGTTAGGCATACTAGTCTAGTCAATTTAATACTTGATACTTTATTGCTTCTCCACATTAGCATTTAGGTCTTACAATTTACAATAGTTTACTTCTATGACATCAAAATGAACTAAGAATACTCATCTCCATATTCTAATAGTTCATTTGGTACCAAGTACAATATTATAGTCTGTATTCTCTTCATCTTTCATGTTTATACGTCTTGAATTAATGTTAGCAATGCGAAGTGAATTTCATTTGACATCTCTTGAAGCACTCTTCTGCTATAAAAAGTTAGAAATGGATATCCAATAGTCGAGAACCTTCTGTAACCTTGTTCGTCCGACGCGCGACATCTTAGTCCCAAGTACATACTTTTTTATTAAAACCTTGTTTATGCAATCCAATTCCATTTATGGAAGCTACATTTAGTTTACAATTATTGCTTTAAAGTTAGAGCAGTTTGTCGAGACAAGAAAACGAAGTTAAATGTTAATATTAATTTAGATTGTTTCTCATTCTACATAAGTCTAGGTACAGACAGACGAGAGTACATCAAAAACTCGCCCCTATAACAACTTACATAAGATTCCACAGTGTTTACCTTGGTATGCTGTTGTATTTACTTTAAGACTGCCCGACTTTCTACCGGCTAATAACGGTTAATGAGCTTAAAATGTTGAAGTTCTTAGTATATTTTGCTAGAAACCAAAATTTATCTGCATATTGTTTGTGTATTTCTATGACTAAATCAGATAAAAGAGCACATATTGCAGTCTATATCAGCGAAAGAAGCACTTAAAACTCTAGCAGTGTGTCCTAAATGCTCAACAACAATGGGATCGATATAATTCATAAACCATTCATCGCGTTTCAGAATAAACGCGTTAACATAAATGCCCGGGGGAAGTAAGAAAAAACACAGATGAGTTGATTCGGGCCCAAATTTTAATTATCAACGCGAAGAATGTACGCACGTTGGTATTAAATTTAAATTAGACTGAGACCATGTATGTATACCTATAGTAGGTATACATTGCTAAACAGCCCAGAGAAAATACATTTTTCCTTTCGAGTAGAAAGTTACACTATTTGTGAGTAACATAGGCACTATCTTTCTGTGATAGGCAAAACCTTGTATTGTATTGCTACACTACCTACTTTAGTTTTTCAGAATCGTACTTACCTACTTTCAATTCTACTGAAAACATAGTAGGTATATAAACATACATGGGACATTGTGTGAATGAATGCCGCCGGTAATTAAGCTATCTATTAGTGATACGGCACGTCGGTCCATTTAATCCTCAATTAGTTTAAATCACAGCAACCGCTGCGAGCCATCAGTCTGCGCTCCGCCTTATCGACGGCGAGCGATCGCTGAGCACTTCCACGCCAGTGGAGAGATACAATCGTAGATACATAGATAATTAAACGAGCAATTACTAATTTCAAAAGCTGTTAATGCCTAATTAAAATGGTTTGGAGATAAGTACCGGGAATGGTGTAATTAATGGTCGAAAAGGATCGAGTATGATTAACAAATTGGAGCGCTGAACGTCATTGTTATGTCTACATACCTACATCGCTGTGACGAAGAACCAATCGTATCGTGAAATAATTATCGCTTATTAATATGAGGAATCGTGTTAGGGTGTTTAGCAGTGAGTGTAACTCTCACTCACGACCCTACTATGGGTATTTAATTGCAAAGATTAATAACAAAAAGCCTAATAAACTTTAAATTTTAAACACGATAGTCTATATTCGGGTTACCAAAATTTCTGTCACGTGTTACAGTCGAAACCGCGATGAAAGAAGTCTAGATAATAGGTAACTAAATGAACGGACCTGGTTTAAGTCTGGCGGCGGGAACCGTTTTAAACAATTATTCTAGCAATTAGAACTTATGTGGTGAATGTGCAGATGAGTGACTGCCGTTCGTGCTCACTTAGGCACATTTTAAACGTCAGTCGCCATTTCCCTCCGCTAACAAAAGCTTTTATGGAAATTTTTCGTGTAATTTTACTTTACATCGGTTTTAACTGGATGATCATGGAAATGGTAATGTAACGATCTGACACAAATGGTGATATTAATTTACGAAAATTTGAAGATTTCTCATTTTGTGTACTTACTGCTTGATAGAATTTAAAGGGCCAGACTAAATGGTAGCTAGATATCATGGTACCTACATAATAAAGGCGATATTACTTGCGTTGTAAAGTCATAACTTAACTAACGGTGAATGAAAAGAATTTCTTTTTTTCATTAAGGTGCGAATGAATATTTCGGAATTTCGCGTAATGGTTGCCGCTTAGTCGTCGCGTCAAAAAGCCTTTTGTTATCTTCACGTTATTTTTCAGGCGGTTCGGATTCAGCGGACAAAGCGGGCCGCATATTTCACAAGACTGTAATCTCGTCCTAGTTCACAGGATTTAGGCAAGTTTTTACACTTTGCCCGGCTTTAATTCTTCTTGATTTATTCTGTCCGGCCGGCAGATCTCCCGGGAACAATTACGTACTGAATATTATGTGTACCTGCACACTTTTCTTGCAGTTATGCGATTTTTTAGTTGTGGATATTTTAATTAGCTTTTAAGTCCGTGATTTTATGTCAATGTTGACCGTCAAATTATAAGTTTCGTTTATTAAAGTTGTTTTTCTTTTGTTTCAGACTAACTGGGCGACATTGGCTGCTGTTAGGATGGACAATACTACTGGCGATCAACAACGACGGAGCGGAGATCACTTGCCCCGAGGAGTGCAGCTGCCGGACCACCTTCCACAGGGAGGAGGGCCGGCTTCTCCGGATAGCTTGCTCGCGGGGTGACATGCACACTATACCTGTTGACTATTTCGATAGGAACGCTCAAATCATCTCCATCTCAGCTCCAGCAGAAAACCCTAACTTCCTCACCATCGGACCAATTTTTACTCAGCCCATTCCATTCGTGAATCTACAGGAACTACACATTGTCAACTCAAACATACCATCTATAGGCCAGTACTCATTCTGGGGCCTACAAAATCTTAGACTTATCAACTTGACATACAACAACCTAACCAGCATAAACGCGGATAATTTCCGCGGGCTAATAAATCTCACCGAGCTCCATCTCGACCACAACAACATAGAGCAAATGCCGAGCGAGACGTTCAGACATCTCACCGCTCTGAAGACTCTGGTATTATCGAATAATCAGATCTCAACACTGGTGCCCAGATTATTTCGGATGTTAGCGAAACTGTCTTATTTGGATTTAAGTGATAATCCTTTAGCCGATTTAAACCCGGAGGTTTTCAAAGATATACAGCACTTAAGGGTGCTTAAGTGTAGACGATGTCTACTTAGAAGAGTTAATACTCAGATTTATCATTTGGTGCCTCATTTGGAGGAATTGGATTTGGGGGAGAATCTGTTTAAATACCTGACACCGGACGAATTTATCAGTCTTAAGAAGCTGAAAAAACTGAAGTTGGACGGAAACCAGCTGTCGGTCATTGTGGACTACATGTTCGGACGCAACCGCGAGCTGCGGGCGCTCTCGCTGGCGCGCAACCGCCTGGCGCTGCTGGCGCCCGCCGCGCTCACCAACCTGTCCGCGCTCGTGCACCTCGACATCGGCCACAACAAGATCGACAAGTTCCACCTGCAGACCTTCGCCCCCATCGTCGACACGCTCAAAACCATCAACTTCAGCGGCAACAACCTCCCGCTCAACGAAATCGCCATCGTCCTCCAAATCCTGCCCGACATTCACGGCGTCGGAATGGCCAACTTATCCTTGACAGATATTCCCCCCAACTTCTTTACATACAACGAACATTTGGTCGCTCTGGATATATCATGGAATAAATTAACAAAATTTCCATATAAATTACTCACGAAGACGAAATTCCTGCAGCGGCTAGATATATCGCACAACAAATTACAAACGCTGAGCGAGCAAGATCTGCAGCGGTTGGAGGCCATAGCGCAGATAGATTTATCAAAAAATACTTGGCACTGCGACCAATGCTCGGCCGGGACGATGATCGTTTATATGACCACGACCGTTTTGAACGCGACTATAAGGAATCTGAGGTGCTATGCGCCAATGCGGTTGCGGGGCAAGAGTTTTGCGGACATGAGCTTTGACCTGCTGGAGGCGTGCCCGAGCACGCGGGAGGCGCAGATGAGCGTGATCGCGGGGCTGATGCTGCTGTGCGTGGCGGTGCTGGCGGCCGTGGCGGGCGCGCTGTGCTGCTCGCGCCGGCGCGCCGCGCACTACTACACGGACGAGGAGAAGCGGCGCGAGCACGCGCACGAGCACCCCGACGAGCTGCTGGCGCGCGCCGAGCTCGGCAGCGTGGCCACCATCCACGCGCCCTTCGCGCTCGCGCCCAAGGGCAGCTAGCGGCCCGCCCGGCGGCCGGCGCCCGCGCCCCGCCCGCAGTGCGCGCTCAGCATTGCCATCCAAAACGAGTTCTGGACCCCCAAGCCGATCCCCGCGCCCCCCAAGGACCTCGAGAGCGTGCCGCTCAGCTACTTCCCGCAGCCGCCTCCGCCGGTGCTCGACCCCAAGGATTTGTGATACGAAGAAATCGAGGACGATCTCGTGTGACGTCAGAGATCGTCCCGAAGGACGACGAAAAGACCCAGAGACTCTTCGCGTGCGCATTCGAGTGCACAATATACAATTTGTCTTAGGAATCCGCACGGACATCCAATTGAAGTGTGTGATCTTACTGGTGAATGAAAATAGCTAGACATCAACTTCCAATTTTAAGAAAAGGATATTTTTCTACGACCAAAGTTTTACATGTAAGTTTTTCGTACTCCACTTGAAAGGACTGCTAATTATAAATTATGTATATTTAATTATGTACCTAAGATACTGAATCTAAATAAAGTTGGTAAAAATATACGACTTTATTAGATTCTATTGTATTAGAAACCGTAACAAATTCAGGGGGATGTTAACATCCTCGCCGAAGGAGGCTCTAGGCCTGACAGACCATGCTGACCCACCGTCAACTTTCGCAGGGTTTGAATTCTAGTTTCCATTCCCGTGCTGATTGTTTTGGTACTGATTATCTAAATCAGCTATTATGACAACCCTATGGGATAGAGAGATGACCATTATCTTCTTTATCCGTCACTACAATAGACTAGAGTGATATACATGGAAGATTATGGTAACGGCTGTTTGATGTTAAGTTATGAAAACAATATTATAAGTTTCAAGTTAACTTAGGCAACTATTACCTTGATGAGGCTGCCCCATTTATTATTTATAGTTTATTTTGGTAACAGTTGTATAAATACATACTTACTCGGTTTATAAATATTATTACAAATTCAGTGGTGAGTTACCAAAATATTTGCTAAAGTTACAGTCGGCGGGAGTTAAGCTTTCAAGTTTAAGTTAACTTCTGGAGTTGAAAATATTGGAATGTGTCAAAAGTACACCGTAAATATTTTTGTCGATAAAATGAGCTTACGAAATGTCGAAAAACCATTTTATAAATGTCAAAAATAAAACTTGATTTTATTCAGTTAATACATTTACAGTCACTTCTTAATGCGTCCTAGCATAATAATTAGAACTAGGTATCAGGGACCAAATTACTTTTCTTTGGTTTCCCTCATATTATAAAATATAGATGACTATTTATTTCTTGAAGGAATGAGGTGAAGTGAGGCAATATGCAATATTAGTAAGAATAGTTTGACCAAGTTAGCAAAAGAATTACTTAGTGTAAACAAAGCATGTCTCATAGTTCTTTATCATTAATTTAAGTATCAATAATAAAGTAACAAACAAAAAACTGTTTTTCTAAGAGTACCTATTCAAAATACACACTGAAAACAGCATACAAACTAATTTACATGTCATTATTTTAAACAGATCTTTGTTTTTTAATTTCATAAGTTTTAAGCTATCTTGGGCCAACTATTGTTACAGAAATGAAGTATATTATTTATATATATGATTTCTAAATGCTTTATTAATTATTGAATTCATGGGTATGTCTTTAAATATTTCAGTAAGGACTGAAAGTTTATAATTAATTTTAACCCTTAAATGCACGATTTATGGTTTCAACGAAATAGTTTCTTACATACCACAAAAATGATAATGATTTAAATTACCAAACTTTAGGCGAGTGCAATATTAATCAGTATTTCTTGAAGGAATCGGAGGATAGGGGTGGCTGAGTGGGGTGTAGGGAGGCCACAAGACGTACCCTATATTGGCATTTCGGGGTACGTCATTTTAATTTTCGGCAAAACCTTTAGAGTTAAATAGTTAATAACGTTCCAACTTTTTCCAACTCTCTGGCAATTCCAAAATTACTCATTAACCAGTAATGTTGTTGAACGTTTCAACTTTTCGTCATTATTCATTAAATTAAAAAAAATCTCATAAATTAAAATCAAAATAAAACCAAAAATCTAAAGCAAAATCCAAAAAATTAAGGCAGGTGCAATATTAAAAATGACTTACTTCAAGAATAGTCGGTGGTTAGGGGTGGCTTAGTGGGGAGTAGGGAGGCCACAAAAGTCCCCCATATTGGCAGTTAGGGGAGCTTTATTTTTATATGGAACTAAGATCTTATAAAATAAAATAAAACATAAAGAAAACATCAACTAATCAACAACGTTTTGACATTGCTAAAATATACATTTTCGAAGTAGTCGGCTGTGAGTGGTGTGAGAGCAACGGTATAAAAATTTTTGAATAATATTAGGTGTTTAATCTAGTTAACTAAACTTTCGGCCTTAAAATTTTTTGGGAATAACAAATGCAAATTCAAAAAAACTCTGTGTTGATTAACAACATTTTCAATGAAACTTTGAAAACTTTTGGTATCTATGAAATTGATAACGTTAGAAACGAATTGTTTATCAAAATGCAGTTTTAGTAACAAAATTGATATCATAAACAAAATAATAAAACGGGAATAATGAACGCAGTTGATTTTAAAAACATTTAGGCGATTTGATAGATACGCACCTAATATTGATCAGAAAGTATATTAGTTTACTTTAAAATTTACGATTCATCTGACTTTGTTAGCATTTTAGTTGCATTTTACAAGCATGCCCACCCATACCAAGATTTTATTTTTTAACCAAATCTGTGTACCCAGATAGGTTTTTTAATTTTTTTTATTTAAAATATAACATATTTTTTTATTTCCATTATTTTATATGACTTTAATTTTGTATTTCCATTTATATCACTATTTTTTTATTAAATTTATTACTTTATAACTATGCCTTAATTTTTTTTCCATTTATATTAGTATTTCTTATTTAATTTATTACTTTATGTTACTTTTATTTTTTTATTTCCATTTATATTTTTTTTAATTTAATTTATTACTTTATATTTTATTTCATTTTTTTATATTACTTCTTTTATTTAACGATTTCATTATTCATTATATGATTATTCAGGAAAGGATCGTTTCGTTTGAAGTTCGTTTCGTTTGCTCCTTAAGAGCAAAATGACGATTTGTAAGAACTATTTATTAGTCCAAACAAATAAAGAAATTTTGACTTTGACTTTTGACTTTGGCTATTAAATCATAATTACCTACATTTTAAATTTCTATTTGGCAGTGCTCAAGTTACACATTTTTTTCTTCAGATTATAGATTAAGTTTTGTCATCGTAAAATATTTGTTAAGCCAGTTTAAATTACGGGTATTCTTCAAGTTTTATTTTCTTATTACAAGTTTTTTACTTCATTTTAAAAACAGAATTTTATTTCAGCCATGTGTTTCACTGATGTTTTTGATTTATGTCTAAATTATTTTGGCAAACGCACCATCATCTCTTACTTTTTGACGCAGTCGGTGGTTAGGGGTGGCTGTGTGGGGTGTAGGGAGGCCACAAGTGGTCCCCATTTTGGCTGCCCGGGAACTATATTTTGACTTCCTATATTTGAAAATAACATCTTAGATAAAAATCGAATTTACAACGTTTTTGGCATTTTAAAAATGACAACAAATTCTAAAATAGTCAACAGTAAAAGCGATGAGGTCAACGAAGACAAAATTCAGTATTGAGGAGTAGCTGCATTCATTACGTTGATTTTATTCTTACTAGTGTCTAATGTTGTTGATTTTCCATCTGACTTATTCATGATGATTCTCTCAATTTTTCCAGTTTTTATTTTATATGTTCGGTAACATTTTCAAATGGTATTGAGTATCGTTATTAATTTCTGGAAATGTATATTGTTATCTTAATTGGCACTTTCATGATGTTCTGTGGAGGATTCGATTTTTCTGAGATTAAGATTCAACTCTTTGGATAGGTAGTTTGAGGATTTTTGTTTGATTTTAATTCATTACGTTCTTACCAAAAGCAATAAACAAAACTCGTTATTTAGCTAAATTTATTTGAAAATAATCAAAACGGTTGCTAAAAATTACAAAATCGGTGCAATATGTATTGAAATAATGTCAGATTGTGTTATTTGATTCACGTTTTTAATTTTTTGTTGATAAACTAAAACCGAGTTCGCAGTTACATTTTTATTATTGTTTCATTTTCATAATTTTCATTCCCATAAATCCAATTCTTTTGGCAAACATACCATCATCCCTTTCTTCTTCTAGTAGTTGGTGGTTAGGGGTGGCTGTGTGGGGTGTAGGGAGGCCACAGGTGGTCCCCCATTTTGGCAGTAAGGGGAACTATAAATTTTGACTTTCGATATTATTTGAACATAACATCTCATTCAAAATTATATCACAGATAAAAAAATTGAAATTAACAACATCTTAAAACGTTTTTTGGCATTCAAAAAAATTACTATCACTTCTAAAATAGTCAGCAGTAGGAGTGATGAGGAAAAAGAAATATTGTGGAATAGTTTCATACGTTACGTTGATTTAAGCCTTACGAGTGCCTTACTATCAGTTCGAATCAGAAATGAGGAGATCCGTAGGAGAACCAGAGTGACTGACATAGCCCGCAGAATCGCTAAAATCAAGTGGCAGTGGGCGGGGCACATAGCTCGAAGAGCTGATGGCCGCTGGGGCAGGAAAGTTCTTGAGTGGCGACCACGAGCTGGAAGACGTAGCGTGGGCTAGGTGGACCGACGATCTGGTGAAGGTCGCGGGAAGTACCTGGATGCAAGCGGCGCAGGACCGGTCTTTGTGGAAATCCTTGGGGGAGGCCTTTGTCCAGCAGTGGACGTCTTTCGGCTGAAACGAACGAACGAACGAACGAACTATCAGTTAATGTTGTTGATTTTACATCTGACTTAGACAATTCCGACTATTTTTCCGGTTTCTATTTTATTTGCTTAGTAAAATTTTCAAATGGTACCTAATAGACATTATGTTAAGGATTCGGTTGATTTGAGAATAAGATTGAACTCTTTGGATAGTTTGAGGA